ACAGAGTTGTCAGAAAAGAAAGAGAAAATAGCATCTTGTCTTGTAACTTCCTATCAGTCAAAAGGAATTTAGGATCCTCTTTCCAATAAAAGAGAGGAAGAGGGAGCAAGAGGGGGAGCGCGGGAAGATGAGGCTTTCTTACCGAGCAAAGAAAAGTGAAGAGAGTTCTGTGTTTCATAATTAATATTCCACACCTAAACGTTTCTGATCTCTTCCCTTTACAGTCCTCCCACCCCATCACCTTCTTCTTCTCTACAATTTCAATTTTAGATCAATTCACGTCCTCTGAAACAGTGTACACAAGTGATAAAATGCTGGCTACACGTATTTTCCTGTCTAATACTGTATCATTCATTGTATAGGCTTACATGAAATGTATTGCATTTTTTACTCGAACTTGATGTAAATACCTTGGTTTTGCTCCAGATATCTCGCACGGTTATTGTTTTATTTAAAACATTAAATCGTTCTAAGAAAATGTGTTTAAAGTCTAAAAAAAAAGCCATAAACCCGGAAGTAAATAGAAAATTTAAAAGCGTCCTAAGAGCCGAGGAACAGCAAAAGAAGGATTAAACCAACGGGAATTGTGTTAAAACATAAAGTCAGTATATTCTATTTATAACTCTTTTGGCAAGGTCGGGTGCAATAGGAAGTGTTTTATCATCTCAGTTATTTCAAATTAATTGCTATTGATTTGTTGACCAGGAGGAAGAGTAGTTAGCTCAGGTCTAATTATTGTGGTTTCTAAAAGAAACGATGCCGGAGATGCGGGTAACTTTCCAAAGGGAAAGAGTTGGGTTTGGAAATTGGACCTTGCCGGGATGTTCTTTCCTAATTAGCTCCGAGGGGAGCGCTCGGGACCTCGAACCCCCGGCAAATTTTCCTCTCTGCGTTTTACTCCCAGATGCTCTGCAAGCCAGGTCCTAAGAATTAGTAAAAATCCTCCCCCCCTCCATTGCAGACCCTGCATGGATTTATGTTGGATTGATTTTTTAACTAACTTCTGTGGCGCCGAGTGCGCTCTTCAGGTAAAGAGAGGACAGGAAAGGAGAGAAAATGTGCTTTTGGTATTTTGACCTTACATATAAGAATAAGAGTATATATATATTCTTTATGAAAGAAAAATATTAATAAGAAAAATGAACATTTTTCCTCCTTGGAAGGGATGAAAAAGGATTCGAACTCTGCTGAGTACCGGAGTTTCACAATCTCTCGAAATAAAACATAACCGCCCTTGCCACGCTGAGAAGCAGAAAATAACCTCTGTAAAATGCCTAAAATTCTGAGGCTTAAATTGCTAAAGTTATGATAAGAATGTCTGTATTTAAAACCGCCAAAGTTTCCCGTTCCCCCCCACACCTCCCCGAATGTAACAGTGGTAACTCTGGCAAATGACATCTCAATAATGAACAAAACATTCTTCTTCTTTTCTTTTTTTTTTTTTTTTACCCTTGCCATCTGAAGCAATCAGTTAATTAACAAATACGCCCCCCACCCCCCATTTTGCGTGGACACCACCTTTTCTAAATGAAGGACGAGAATTTGAAGACGAAAAATTAACAACGAACTTGAGGGTGCGAACAACAAAAAAAAACTTTCGAGGGATGCGTTTGGGGTGTATTTTCCTCTGCTGGGAATATTTCAGGGTTATGTCACAAAAATAAACCTACGCGGTAGTGGAAGCAATTTCCTGAAGATAATAAACGAGACTAAAGAGTTTAAAATTAAAGCATTCGAACATACGGAAATGGGTTGTTTTAAAGGATTATTAGAAATATGTTTTGAGGGATGATTTTTTCCCCCCAGAAAAGATAAACCAGAATTAGGAGGACTCGGGTTTTTGTGCTTTTCTACCTGTACCTGGGAGGTGATGCGTCTGCAATCCAGACTTTCGGGTGCGACTTCAGAAATAGTGAAATAAAGACGGAAATTCGGAGAAACAGAATTAGAAAGACACACGATTAAAGGCATTAGACGGGCAGTGATGAGAAACAAATAAGTAAATTTTTAAGACTATTTCACTCCTTGGGGAAAAAAGATCTGAGCATTTTTGCACATGTACAACGTAAATTTCAGCTTCTGCCGAATTTCCCACTTTCGGCTGAAAAAACTATATTCGGGAGGGGGGGAAAGTCGAAAAACTGATGCAAGTCCTAACTTTGCCATCGAACTGCCCTGTAAACCAGCACGTTTCTGCTCGCCTCTCACTGATATTTTTTAATCTCTGGAAAGGTCCCGTCCCGCTGAGGGAAGTTCGCACCTGGTCAACGGGGAGGGAGGGGAGGAGAAGCAGCAAACGAACTTGGCAGGAGGGAATCATTGCCATTCTGAGCAAGGGCGGGGGGCAGGAGTTTAACTCTCAAACTTTTACTTGGGAAGAGTCAAAAACATGAAATATTAAAGAGCCGGCTTGCGAGGAGGGCGGTGGGCGCAGGGTTGAAGTGGTGATGCCCCCTCCTGCGGGCTTTCGCTGAGGCTGAGAGAGAGGAGGGGGGGAATTTGTATTCCTTTCACCGCAGAGATGGACAAGATTGTCCTGACAACTGCAAAACGCGGGGGTTCGGACCTTTGTTCTGGGGCTGGCGATCGCAATTTGGAGATGGTGACTTATATTTTCTTCCTTTTTAAAGAAAAACGGGATGATCCATAGCTCGAGATTTTTTGCTCAATAAAGTTTTCAGAGATCGAGGGTAGTTGGTTGGATTTATTTTTTTTCAATTATTTTTTGTTTTGGAGCGTGGCCAACAGCTCGCTAACAGACGTGGAAATTAATGGGAACTCTCCCGGTGACTTCAGCCCGCTTGGCGACAGCGTCCCTATCCCGGAGCTGGCGAACGGGCCCGATCCTGTCTCACTTCCTCAGGGAAATCCACCTGGCTCTTATCCCGGTCTCTGTAATTTTGGGGGGCAGTGGTAGGTGTAGGTTATTTTTAACTCCCCAAACCGGGATGCCCCATCACATCTTTCCCCCCCTGTCCCCGGCTCCTACATCCAACCTCCCCCGCTCACTGCCCCACGACCACGCAGGACGAGTCAGTGTCAGCAGCGGGATCAAGTCCCAGCTGGCTCTGGGAGCTGGATGTGACTCCCGGGGCCCTATCCTGATTCCTCTCCGCAGGGCGCAGCTTGTTCCCCCCCACGCGTGTTCCCCCCGTCGGAGTCAGCCCTCACCGAGGGCGCGGTGAGGTGGAAAACACACCACTCCACGTGTCGGGCTGGAAACACCTCCCACGGTACACAACACCTTTTCATATACCCCCAAGTAAATGAAATCCTCCTTAAATCTTCCCAATTGCAACTGGAGACGGCAGCTAATATTACCATTAATGGAAAAGGGAGCTGCGCTTGGCTTAAGAGTAGTTTCACCGGGTTTTTTCACATGGGTGATTTAGGGCTTCTCTCGGACACCGTTTTCTGCAGCCCCGACGTGAAACATTCTTTAGCTTCTGCACGGGGTTAATACCGGGCTGCAAGTGGGTGTTTAACCAAAGTCTATAGGTATGGCCTGTAATGTATATAATGCCCCGCACACGCCTCTCATGGAAGCGTGATTTCCTGGAGGTGTATGTGAGCGAGTGTCAGTGCGTGGCACTCACATCCCCAGCCGCGGGTGCGTGTCCCACTCCGGGACGCGAGTGTGTGCCCTGAGGGGTTTGCAGAGCGCTCGGTGCCTCCGCTGGGTTTGGGGGGACCAGGAACGGAGGGGGCTGTCCGAGGGGCAGCACCAGAATTATTCCCAAGCACCAAATACTGCTTTGGAGATTTCACATGATCTTCCTAATTCCACGTTTTATATTTTATGATTTCTTGCCAGCATCACAGTGTGTTTCTGTTTAGATATACTAAGCTCCTTGAAATTAATTAACCTGTGGTCAGCAACCAAAAAAAAAAGTAATACTGGTTAAGCTATATTCCTTTACAACGTTTGGTCACAGTTAGTTACAGAATTTTCCAGCTGTGAGGATGATGTACACTATTTACTGTAATTGAATTGCTGTTATAACACCTTTCAAGAGGAAAAGTGATACATGACAAAAGTTGAGCTGACGCAGGGCCCCTCCTTTTATCCCCCTCTCCGCTTATCTGGAATAAAAACTTCACTGCAGAGAGTCCCCACTCGTGTCCGCCCGGGGGGTGGGTGAGGACCTCGCCCCCGCGCAGCGGTGCGGAACCCGCTCCGCACCCGCCCTCCGCTGCAAACCCGCAGCAACCGGAGCACCGGCCCCGCAAACTCTGCGCATCCCGCGGGAATTCCGGGGCTGGAACGGGCACCGGGCTCAGCCCTGCGCCCCAGCGCTGCCCTGTCGTATCGCGACATCAGCCACTAACTGGCGGAGGAGGGGAAGAGGGTGCTCTTTTAAAGCCCGGAGCGCCGACAACAGCCGTTCTCGTATCTGGGGAGACAATTGGATTTATTTCCATCCGACTAGTAATAGATTCTCTAGAGCATCAGAGAGATTATTTTATAAAGTAAATTCAAACCAGGCTGTTCATTAGATCTCATTATTATTAAAAGGGAATGATCAGTTGGAAAAAAATCTATCTAATTTGGAGGAAAAAGACTACACATTTTAAATAATTTCTGTAAGTTGTGCTACCTTTGGCGTTTTTGGCAAGAGAACAAATAAAAGCCTGGAGGAGTTAGAAGTGTTTTTTCCTCTCTCTCAATTTTTTTCCCTTCTCAGTGCCACACAACAGCCTTTCCTCCTTCAACTTCAAAGAGGACTGAAAGGACAAACATTCTGATACAGCTAATAATACACGGAGAGAAAGAATTTGCATTCCTTAGCAAATATAAGTGCTCATTAATAGAATCATGTATTTGGCTAAGAACATCTTGCCAGTACAGCTGGGAGATAGAAAGTGGTCGTGTGGGGAGGGTTTGAGGAAGAGTTTTGATTGACGTTGTAGGAGCCACATCACCCGCCTTTCCTCCAGTCATCTATATCAGGTCAACGATTACTATTAAAAAAAAAAAAAAAAAAAAAAAAAAAAAAAAAAAAAAAAAAAAAAAAAAAAAAAGTGAAGCAATAATCATAAAGGAACAGATGGGGACAGAGTGCCCTGCGACTTCTGAAAGGCACAGCAAGGACTCGCTGCCTAGAAATTCATCAAGATAATGCTAATTGCACTCCCAGGCCGCGTCGTAGCCGCCCTGCCAGGGGTCCCGCATTCGCGCCCGCACCCGCGCCCGCACCCGCGCCCTCCCCTGGGACTCCCCTTTTCCCCCCAGTTTCCTCCACCTCTGAGCCCGGAGGTTTGACGCGGAAAGGACGGAGCTCTGGCTGTGAGGAAGGGCGCGGAGGGGCGCGGGCAGAGGGCAGCGATGCTCGATATTCCCTTCCTCCGTCCCCGCAGCCACCCCGCACGCTTCACCTCAGGGCTCGGGGCTTTCTCGCCTCCAAGGCTCCTGCGGACCCCTCACACGGAATTAACCTGATTTACAGCCCGATCTGGCTCTCCAGTCCCACGGATGGGCGCCCTCACGGGACACACGCTTTTTTGGCATTGCCGTGGGGTGCAGCTTCCTACGGGACCATCACCGGGAGCTCTCTCTTCCCAACGAGCACTTTCTTAGGCTCTAACTGAGGTGACTCTACCTAACAGGTGCGGTGGGAAATGATAAACAAAATTAAAGTCGCTTTCTGATAGAAACTTTGTTCATTTGACTGAGCTGAAGATGATTCTTGTGATTATCCAAAGCTTCTTTTACCATCATGAGAACTCTAATTTGGTTCTCATATACCCTACGGTAAATCTGAACATACTCTTCCCTACAGAGAAGTCTTCTCCAACAGGGAATAAATAAAAACCAGCTTAACACGGACCCCAGGAAAGTTTACAGACACCCAGGTGGGCAAATCTTTCCTGTCCTCAGCACAATAAATTATATAAAAAAAGATAAAACCTTAGAGAAATTAAAAAAAAAAACAACTTTGCCTTTTAAGGGGATTATCCTAATTTATGCCTGCAGTTACTGATTCCCATCTTTCTACAAAGAAAGAGTGTAAAAATATCTGGCCAGCACACACTGAGTAGGTGTGTCTGTGAGTGACTCTCAGTGAGGAGATGCTGGATTGGAATTGCAGCTCCACATCCGGACTATAATTTGGTCTCCTGGGTTTCTACTTTTAAAAGTGTCGTAATTATCAGCATTTAAAAGGTGAACAATGTATTTCAAACTGTTATTTTGAAGGACCCAGAGAGTTTATTATCTCTTCGGTCTTGAAGAGAGTTTGGATATCTTTGTAGAAGCTAAGCCTTAATTCAGCTGCAAGGTTGTGAGCTTGGTGTAGACACTGAGTAAAGATACAGCCCTCTGCTGAGAGTCTTACTACATAAAAGTTTGTTGTTGCTAAAAATTCCTTTCTGGCTCTCACTCTCTCAGGCTTATTTATAGAAGCTACCTTTACCTGGGAGTTTCTTTAGTTTTTGTTATTTGGAAGCTGCTTTTTACATGTATATCTGAGTGCATTTTTATTACTCCAACACAGCTGAACATAGTTTGGTTTTGACTCTAGTGGGACCATATTTCATTGGAGATGCACATGAATGCCAGAGGAACGCACCAGGAATGCATCACATGTGGTTCTCTGGGATGGTTTGTGTATGGCAAGAGCAGAAACGTGCTTTGGCTTCAAAGAAGTCCTGTATTTTATTAGCATAATCTGTAGAAATTGTCAGTCAGGGGCTTGCTGTTGGTTTAGGCCCAGTGGTCATTGGTCTAATAACCTTCTGACTGAGCTTGGGATTAAAGAGTCAAAAGTTTGTGGTTCATTCAGCAAGGGGGACCCTCCATCTGAGCACACTGATGTCTGTGATGAGCCTTTGTTCTATCCCAGTGGTCCCCAGCCCACGCTGGCCCCGGGATAATAATAATATCAAGCAAGGAATGCACTGCCTTTTTATTTTTTTTTCCCTCAACTCTCCCCATCCTTTTCAACTCCCATGGCTGTGAGCAGCCTTGGAGGGTCCATAAGGTTAACAAATTGGGAATTTCAAACCCCTTTGTTTCAGCCTCCCCTGAAACACCCCTGTTGGCTTTGCTCCGGGGCCTTGAACCCAGGAATCCCTCCTGACCGACAGCCCCAAGGCCCCAGAGCTCGCAGGGCCAGCCTCAGCAGGGGACTGCCCCTGGCTGAGGAGCCCAGATCTTTGGGGATGAAACAAAATGTTTCAGATGTGACGAATTGGACATCTGTTTCATCAGAGAAAAAAGAAAAAAAAATTCATCAGCTCTAATGAGAGATGCAAAGATATTTTGGTGTGTTGATAGGCTGCCTCCTGTTCCTCACAGCTGGAACAAACATGATGCCTAATCTATTGGCCCTAGGAATGATTTTTTTTTCCCTGGGTAATACCTTTTCTTCACATCAGAGCACTGGAGTATCGGTAGCACGCACTTGATGCTTTGCAGTGCTCTCTTTAGTGGTTTTGGGTCATTGCCAGCCTCCAATTTATGTGCAAGTTCCCTTATCTCTAGGAGGTGGATCCATTCCATACTGGATTTCTTAAACGTGTCCTCCTGTGTAAAGTATTGGTTTTTATTCAGCAGCTCTACCAGGGCTAAAAGTGAATTGTTTCTCTGTTAACACAGTCAGGGGATCTGCTTTTACCCTGAGCTTGTCCTGTAGGATTCACCTCCTCCAAATGCTTCCATACCCTTTAAATGTGGTGAACAGGTATGTGGGACATGTTCTCTCTCACACTGAACTTCTCAGTATCACCCATCACTTGCAGTAAGTCTGTAGCTCAATGCTGGCGGGCACTCCCATGTACTGGCTGCTTTATCAAGAAATTGATAAATCCCCCTTGGGACTTTTTTATTAGCAGCTTTGTGTGGACTCTGAATGGTTTTACAGAATGTTCCAGGACCTGATCACATTTCCCTCTTTGGATATCTGTGCACAGATATAATTTTCCCCTTTTGAATCTGTGCACAGATTCAGTTCTTGCAAACCGAACACTTCAGTTTCTTGTGCAAAATTATTTTTCCTTTAATACAATATTATTTATGGAGTCTTCTCTGGAAAGAAATTCCTCTCCAACTCCTATTTACTCCACTCCCAGGTGCTATGTTTTTGTAGGTGCAGCTCTCTTTTGCTTTAAATTGTACCTTCCTCCTTGCAGGAGGTGGCAGGAGGCCGAGCTCTCCCCAGCCCATCTCACACACCGTGGGCTGAACGATGCCATTTCTGCTCCTAACCCTAAGAGTGTACCTTCCATCTGAAAAGCTGTGACCAGAGATGGTGCAAGTATGGTTGGGATTTTAGCCAGGCACTTGCAGACCAAGTTTTACAGCACTCCCTGAGAGAGGACTGCATTCCCTGAGTAGACATCTGCCTTTTCCTGGACAGTCCCTGCGAGCTCCTTGCAGCTGCCCCAGCAGTGGCCTGTTTCCAAAGTGCTGTCACCCACGTTTATTCAATACTTGCCATAGTACAGTCTCTTTGGGAAGCAGGATCCTGTCTGAAGCTCCTGATAACAGCTTGTTGTGCTGTTGACACGGTTGCAGATCCTGTGACTCCCCACATTTCTTTTTTTAGAAGTAGCATTCCAGCTCTCTCTATTTTTTTTTTAAGCCTCCCTTTCATTAAATTGTGCTGATGCCACAGAAAATTGTCAGCTGTCCATTCTTTCCCTAGACAGGGAATATATCTGTATGTATATATATGTATATATGTATATATAATCAAGGCAAGGGGAGTAAAGGGTCAGGTGTTGCTATGGAAAGAGACTATTAATCTGTGACAGAACTGGTACTATGGGAGGTGAGAGCCTTCCCCTGCACAAAATAAGCCTTTGAAAGGAAGCTCACCAGCCTTTCTCCAGGGGACACCTGCCCCAAGTTTGCTAATTTGGTAATTTGCTCCCTTTATTGCTCTTCTTTGATTATGGCTTTTCAACTAGATTTTTCACAGATCTAAATGTAGCCTAGTCTCAACTAGTCTGGATTAAATTAGAAAGCAGATTTGTATGAGGTATTGTCTTGAATACTTTACAAAGAGCTTGGTGACCAGGTCCTGGAGATTATTCTAAGTTTCTCAAAAATCCTGTGATGGTTTATGCCAGCCAATTACCCAGTTACATGCATGAGACATCTTTCACTTTTGATAGATGCATGCAAAAGGAAGGAAGGGGAAGCTGGAGCAAGGGGAGAGATTATCCCATTTCTCATCTATTCTGTTAAAATTTTGTCCCTTGCAGAGCCCAGCTGTGTATCACTCTGGTCCATCATGGTCATGGCTTCATCAGGGACCACCAGGTCAACCAGCCTGCAGCAAAGGAAACCAGCTCTGCTCTTATTCCTTAACTCCATAACTGAGGAGGAGGATGGAGGATAACTGATCCAGGAGGATGGAGCAGAAGGAATCCTCCTTTGGAGGTGCCCTTGCAGAACTGGTTTCTCTGTGCTCCATGATGGCCATCCAGACACGCACAAATGGCTTCAGCTTCCCAAGGCTCTCCGTGAGGATGGGATTGAAGCAGCCACTCCTGACCCACCACTCTTTATTGGAGGGCCCCAAGAAGTATAGGGGACATGCTATTAACTGTGGCAAACAAATTGCATTTAAAATGAATGCAATAAAATGTAGATTTACCATCTGAATTTCTTATCTATAAAACTTAGGCTCCGAGTGTTTTTACATCTTTAGAAGAATTTATATCTCTGGGCGTATTTTTTAGCAGCTTGGCTGATAGCTTCATCCTGGTCTGGCCTAGAAATAAAGAGTTAAATTAATTTCTTCCCATACAGCAGGAATTTTGAATCCATTTCACTTTTCCAGCCCCTTGCCATTCTTCTCGCTGACCGCAGACCTGCCAGTTGGTGTTACCTCTCCCGGTCACTCGGAGGTTGCCTCATGGACCACAAGGTCTTTCCCGGCCAAAGGCTGAAAACTGCTGCTTGAAGGAATGTGAATGAGCAGAACAAACCTCTGTCAGGATCATTGGGCTGGTATGATGCTCACCCACACCGACCAATGTGCCACAAGTGATGATTTATTTTTGTTCTGCCTGACAGTCTCAAAATTTCAACTTTTTAAAAGTTTTCCTTTGCTACAGGAAGCATCAGAGGACTGTAGATTGGGTGCTATATACAATAAGAAGAGTTGGCTTAAATATTTAAGTATTAACATTTCCTTGTGTCCCCCCTTCCTCTAGCATTTTTAGGTTTTCTTCAGCAGTAATTTGACTGATTCTGATATTATTGCATTGCTGTGGACCTTTAAATCCTGGTAAAAATTCACTGTGTCTGGCTTTTAAATCTTTGCAATCTGAACATGTCCCTTCTCAGGTACAGGTGTGTGTGTGTGCATACACACAGAGACGTGTATATACAGAGAGGCAGAAAGAGGGGTTATGTGCCTCTCTGGAAATCAAACCCGGGAAAAGGAGGGTAGCTCTTTCTTCTGTAGCATTTAGAAATATTCCATGACCCCTCTCTGCTTTTTACAGAGTGGATTTTGCTGCAGGACCAGCGCTCTGAGAAGGGCTTCAGCTCCAGTGTTGCCTCTAGGTCACTTCTCCTTCCCCACACAGTAATATTTTCAGTCAAGAATGGTGATTGTGGGGAGCAAAATGGTAACATACTTGCAAATATCTGAAGGGTGATCAGCTTTCAGAGCTCCAGTAAGTCATTACTTCATGGTGCAGAAGACAAACAGGCTTGGTTTTGTGCTTCAATCAAGACTCTGCTCTAAGCAAGTTGAGCATCGAGGCAAACTGAGCTGATGATCAGCTGGTGCATGGTACTACCAGGTAAAACCAAGAGAGTATAAATTAGAAAAAAAAACACCTGGGCCATTCAAAACTTTGGCATAACAGTCGAGATGCTGCCTGAGGCAATTATCAGTGTCACGAGATAACTGGTGAGAAAGGGAGGGAGAGGATAAGCAAGAGCTCGTGGTATGCAGGGGGCAGACAAAAGAAAAGTCAGGGAGAAACAAAGTGTATTTCCCAGAGCAAAGAGCTTACTGAGTGATAAAGGCTGTTTTCTTCACAAATGGGCCTGAATAGCACCATTATAGAGTCGGGGTTATATTTCTTCTTTGGGGAATCCATGGTTTGTTTGCTAGTGATGGAAGAGGGATGCAATTTCCTTAGTCCTACCAGTAAATCTATCCTAAATAAAGTAAATCTGAGTAAATAGAGAAGTTGGGTGGAGTTTTTTGTTTGCTTTTGTGGGGTTATTTGGCATGAAAACATGTGCCTTGTTGACTGCTGTCCATCCACATCACTGCAAGTGCTCCTTGAATCCAAAGGTGTTTAATTTACAGGGTAAATTTCAAACAGTGAAGGAAAGGGTGAATCACCATCACCTTACACAGTTGTTACACACTTGGCTTCCAGTGTCCATTTTAAATTAAATGACAACTTATGAGACAGATTTTCTGCTACATTTGACCTATTTGTTATGGTCTTGACAATTTTTTTCAAAGCTGCTACCTCAGTACCATTTCTCAAGTGATAGGAAAAAGGGACTATTCGCTCTTATGTAGAAGGAGAGCCACGAAGGGAGGACTGGGGGAATGGAGGTAAAAAGGCAGTTGTACAGGATGGGGCTAAACAGATGATTCAAGCTGGCATCACTGATGAAAAAGAAACTGAGATACGGTAAGAAAGAATTATATGTATATATAAGAAAGCATATGGGCATCTGGGAAGTGAGGTTAAGAAGTATGACCTCGCTGTAGGATGGAAAAAAGGAGTGTAAAGGATATCTGGAGGATAGGCATAGGATGCTGAGAAGAGTGATTTGTCACTCATTTTTGGGGATGGGTGACAGATGGGAGGCTGTGGTGAGGAAGGAGGCACAGAAAGGAGGAGAAAGGGGCACACAGCAGACCAGGCTGGACCTCAGAAGGGCAGTGGAGGGAAGGTGACAGGCGGTGCAGGTCGGGGGGAGCCGGGGATGGTTGCCAGCCTGCGTGGTGATGGGGTGGCATTGTCAGTGGTGATATTGTCAGGGATGGCAGATGACAGGAGCAGGATATGGGGAATATGGGAGACGAAAGCACTCTCAGCCCCCACCACTGACATGGGAGGGGTGAGTTCAGTCTCGATCTCTCAGTGTAGTTCCTCAAAATCTGGGGCCATCTGGACACAGTCCTGTCCCTCATACAAGCTGTCAGCGGCACCGAGGGATTGCTCTGGCAGCCAGGACTCTCTGGCGCATCCAAGAGCTTCCATGCTCATGGCCAGGAGGGCAGATGGCACCGGATCCACTACAGTGGCTTTGCACCACCTGGTGTCCCCTGTCTGGGGGAGTCCTGCAGAGCCAGGTGAGCCTGGCTTGGGGCACTGTCCTGTCACTCAGCCCGGTGGTGTCACACAGCGACGAGGAGACACCCAAACACCTTTGAGGATACGAACCATGGTGCAAACGTTCAGGATGGCCACGTTCATTTTTTGGCTGGCATCACCAAAGCAACAGCTCGAGATGGGTGACGAAGCAGGAGAGTGAGAACTCAGCTGACACAACGTCTGCAAAGGAACAGATATTTGCAGTGAGCGGTTTCTTCAACCCATTCTCCTCAGCACTTCCTTTGCTCAGTGTAGAGCTGCTCCATAAATTAAAATTTGGGCTGGTGTTTTGAGTTGCTCCAGCAATGGGTATGAATAGGAGTCAGTGAAAATGTTGTCCATTCCTGCTCGTGCTCACCTATGCATCAGGGATTATTTTATTCCAGGAATATTTTGTTAGTCCTCAACATTCCCAAGAATAGCACCAGTTTATTACAGCATATATGATAAGAGGGATCTGGAAAATGAATGCTTTGGGGTAAGAAAGGGATGGTATGTGTTTATTACTTAGAGCTGCAGAAAATAATGTCAAGGGTTGCAGCTTTTCTACAAAAAAATCCCCCAAACACACAAACAAACAAAAAACCGAAAACCAAATCAAGGCTCTAAAAAGCCTTGTATAAAATTTTGTATTAGAGGAGATGTCATGGGAAGCAAGTGGTGACTGAATTGGTTAAAGGGTCAGTTCACCCTGGCTGTTTCTCCTCTCACCTCAGGCACTGCCTCTTCCCAGATGCTGTTCCTGGGAGAGGGAGGAGGTTGTGGTCAGTTCATCCAATCTACAGCCCTAACAAACTCTTCTGGCAGAGGAAACCCAGACACTTTTTAGCTTGAATCCCATATGTGCATGTATTTCTTCTACGGTAAAATAAAAACACTTAAAAATAAATGACATCTATTTCTGTTAAACTCTAAGACTTCTCAAATCTAGGTATGACATTCTGGTCAAAATCTTTGAGGCACATATCCTGCTATAAGAAAAATTTGACCCACAGTGAAGATGTTCACAGAAACAGGAAGATAAATAGAAAGTTCGAACACAAGTTTTCTCTGCATCATAAATGGGTTCCCTAAGCATTGATTCATTAGTCATTCAGTCAAGGGATGACAGGATGAGAAAAAAAAGGGTAAAAAAATATTCTGCATTGATAAATTTACAAATGTTTTAAATTTATTTTATCACATAACATGAAAATATATGCAATGAATTCGTATGTAAGGAAACAAGGAAATATCTATAAACACACAAATAACTGTATAGCCATACCACACTAGTAAAAAGCAGAGACCAGTCTCAGAAATTGATCTTAAAGCATGTTAGACTGCACAGCTATGTCACTTCATACTGAAAGAGCATCTCACCCAGCAGTCACTGTATGATTATACACTCTGTTTGGGGACTGCACTAACAATTTGGGAAGCATACTCAAATGAATGATCTGAAGCATATGACACAAGTACCTGTAAGGACAAGGACCATCCCAAACTCCTCTTGTAGACAGGGTAAAAAGAATGAAACCCACTGACAGAGTAGCCTTGACACAGGTGCTTGATAGAACACTGTAGGTATAGTGAATGTGGTTCAGGAAAGGGATATATTAGCTGCAAATATTATTGAAGCAGTTACCAATTTAAAAATGCATGAACTGTAGAAGAAAGGGAGCCATGGCAAAACCTGTTAGTGATAAAATTGGAAAGAGAAGCATTGCTTGCCCAGCTGGTTAAATCATGATGGAGGGTAAAATCAAGTGAAAAATAAACACCAGATTTAGATGCACACTTGATATATCTGGCAGACTGCAAGAGCTGGTGCCACTAAGGAAGAGATGTCTATAACCATATCAAAACTGCCCAGCTCAGTTCAGTCCTACACATAATACTTGTACAGTCTCAGCCTCATTCACTCACACAGTGAGCAAACAGTGACCCAGCCCTACCCTTGCTCACTCTGCTGACAGAGAGGACTGGACTCAGACTCTCAGAACAGATTTATTTTCATACAATCATAGTCTCACAGAACCCTGGAATGGTTTGGGTTGGGAGTGACCTTAAAGGCCATCTCGTTCCAACACCCCCTGCCATGGGCAGGGACTCCTTCCACTAGACCACGTGGCTCAGAGCCCCATCCAACCAGGCCTTGGACACTTCCAGGGATGGGGCAGCCACAGCTTCTCTGTGCCAGTGCCTCATCACCCTCACAGGGAAGAATTGCTTCCTAATTTCTAATCAAAATCTACCCTCTTTCAGTTTAAAACTGTTACCCCTCATCCTATCACAACACTCCCTGGTATCTCGAACACCTATATCCCCTCTGCAGGTTTAGAGGCAGTTTTACAATGAACAGAATAAATTTCAGGAGTGTGGAATTTACACCTACTAGGTGACTTCAGGGCTGAATTCAAAACAGGAGAAGTTTCTAAAACTTCTTTTATTTTCCTGATTAGCTTCTATGAACACAGCTTCTGGGTGTCCATGCTCTCATGAAAAATCAAAGGAAGCCTGCATGCAAAGCAAAGGCACAGTTGTCACTTTAGTTTACTCATGCTTGTCCCAGAAAATGAAAAGAGGCTTTTCTCACTTCGTTTTTTTTTTTTTAATGCACTCGTGCAACACAGTTGTGTTTGGAGTTAAACTTCTTATTGTCATGTTGGAAACCCAAACTGTGAATGCAAATCCCCTGATGGCTTAGTACCAGACCTCTGAGTGTCATTGGAGAGAGATCTTTGAAAATTTGGCCTCATTTTGTAGTGACAACGTGACAGATTCCTCTTGTAACAAAATTCTGGTGAACAGAGTGCCTGGAGGTTTGGCTAGTTTGCTGGGATTGCAATTTGGGTTTAATGACAGTAGCTAATCTTTCTCTTAAAGCAGTCATCAAAATAGAGAGCTGCTTTTAGAGACAACCAGATCCACAAAGATGCAAAAGTAGAGTTATCCCATCTGACTGATGTTCCAAAGCTCCCAGCTAAGCCTGTGTTCCCCTTGTCAAATTTCCTCTGCTGGAACCTGGGTCTGGTTTTTAATGTTATTCTGTTGCTTTGAGCAGCCAGGATTCTAGAGCAGCTCACTTTGACCCTGTTTACTTCAGAAATTAAACTGGGATTTCTGTCTCTTACTGATCCTGAGCACATACCTTATATGACTTCTCATCTTGGGCTCTTTCAGGACCCAGTGGGTCAGGTGGGATGGTTCTGCTTCTCCCATCCTGAGCTTGAATTGCTCTGTCACACAAAAGGGAAGCCTCGTGCCAGGATCAAGTCCACTGAGTCCTTCACTTGTTCTAAGACCTCTCTTTATGACGGAAAATTCTCTCTTGCCAATTAAGCTCAGTTTAATAACTCTGACCATTTATATGACATATTTCATCTTGGAAGGGCTAATAAAAACACAAATTACTGTTCAGAGTGCTCCCAAGAGGCAGATCATCATTATCACATCCTCGTTCCACTGATAAGGAAACTGAGGCAACGTGATTTTAGGACAACGGAGCAGAGTCTTTGCCAAACCCCCCAGGTGAGTTCAGTGCTGTGTAGTCTCCCCTGTGGGACAAAATCTTCTTCTGTTGGATATAAATGGAGGAATCTCCTGTTTTATTTCACCAGCAACTGAAGGAAGATGCAAAGGTGAATAGGGAGAGCCAAGCCATGGAAATGATGTCTGTGAATCTTCCAGTTCTCTGCTGGGCATCAAACTTAAAATACCAGCAACGTTTTTCTCCCTCGTTCTCAAGAGGAAAGCTACATTTAGAGTAGGGCAACATGCCTTAATTTGAGAAATTTAATGCCTTCGAAGCACCACCAAAGCACAATTAGCAAATAAAAAAAATCCCAGAAGTCAAAGCAGGAGACCTGTGTATGTAGTTCAAATATCAAAGGAATATTACCTGTGCTTTCATCTCCATTTCCTCTTGTGAGTCAAAGATACAACATATTACTGCATATTTTAAGCACTTTCTGTTTTGAAAGCTTAAATGTCAGTGCAATTCCCCCAATGGTAATTTCTGTTGTGCTGTTCCAGGCTGGTACTTCAACAGAGTGTCTCCCAGTTTTCACATGATTATCTCCATCTCTGCTTTTGATAGGTTTGAGTCCAATTCACTCTGGATTTGAAGTGGTTCGTGTTCCTTGACAATTGCTTTGAATACCGTCAGGAGAGGTATGATACTGCCTTTTGTGGGGCATTTCTGATGTCCTGCTTTCCCTGGTTCCCTCATCCTCTTCTCTCTCAAGTGCAGGATCACCTGGCTGCATCCAGATTCACTGTTCAGAGCAATCTATAATGTAACCACCTAGAACAGAACATGACTTTTAACTTTTTCTTTTTCCCATGTTTCTTTCTTTAGAATGAACTTTGCAGCTGAGGATTATTGACAAATCTGTTTGAAAAAGATGCATGAAGAACATCCTTTCTGGTCCATCTTGTGGTAAAAAGCGGGTATTTCTTTGCTCATTTGAATGTCAGTGGATTATTTATGCTGGTGCAATGTTTTGAAGAGATAAAATACTCCCCACTGTGCTACATGCAAATCTCTGCAATGTAAACATAAATAGTTGTTGCACATGCATAATCAAAGACATTTTTTTTAATGATTGTTGGATAGTTCAGTCCTCTAATGGCATTGTCTGGTGTAAATCAGTGTAGCTCTACTGAAGCCTGCAAAGCCCCTACCAATCTGTACCAGATGGGGCTCAAACCCTTCACTCTAACTTTAGTCCTCCTAAAAAAAAAAGGAAAAAAATAGCCTGATAGTCCTTGAAAATGAAATTCTTTGTTCATTCATGGGAGGATGGTAGAGCAAGAGTGGCAGGGACTTCTCTTGATCCATATGTGTGCCTCAGCCCTTATCTAGGGAGAACATTTCTGCGATGAGGGAAAGCACGAGGTTCTGTGCCAAGTTAGTTCTTGGCCCCTCTGCTCAGACTAGAGCAGAGATTTGCCAGATAATGTCATTTATAATGTGAACTCCTTTCTGCCGAGATTTGGACCAAGACCACCAGCTCTTTAGCACAGGCCAGCAGACGCTGCCAGATGCTAAGAATTTTCAGTCGTTCACAACCTGTGCTGCATTTTTAGATACCTAAAGGTGAAGGGCTTGAAATCTGATTTTCTGTCCCCAGAGCGATCTTGTTTCACTGTCATTCAGCATTATCTTTTCTCCAACATTGTACACAGCACAATGAACTTTCTAAAGCTACTTTGACACCTGATTCGACTCCAGCTGAAGACAACAACCTCAATCTCATCCTCCTGGTGTTCTGTAGAAAAACTGTGCTCTGAGTTAATATAAAACACAATATTCAGTAGCATCTATTTTCACAAATCTATTTAGACTACATCATCCAAATAGCTGCTAGTGGAGACTGCCCATGCAGATTTTAATGCTATAAATGTACATTTATTTCCAAGTCATCAACAATATATTAACCGGCATACACAGTGTTTTATCCAACAGACACAAAGTTAAGTTTTCTTGCATAAAAAGAGGTGGAAAATTAGGAGTTTGCTCCCCCTCTGTTGAATGCTGATAGTAAAAATATCCACTAAATACTGAATATCACTTATTAATAATAGATTGGAGGAGAGAGTTTTGATAGAAATGAAGAGTACACACATACACACACTATAAATGTATCCACCTTTCAAGCAACTAAGTTTGCATTACTATGATCAGCTCTTTCAGGTTTACCTGTTAGATTTTTTTTCCCCGTTTTCTGCATTTTCGACAAGATCCTCCAAAAGAGTTGCTGTTATCCTTATATAGGCCTGATGTGGACATAAACTTTTTTGCAAGAAGCCTGAGCTACTGTTAGCAGCTCCCAAAGAGCTCAAAGTCCGACGTGGGTTTAATTTGTGGTGCCATGGCAGAACTGTCTAACAATATAAGTCTGTTGGACATGTCGTCTGGGCTGTCACGTTCAATTTGCACATGACCTCCTGGCCAAAAAATGGGAAAGAAGTGGTAGAATGTGGGACTGAAAGCTTATATTATTGCTTTGACAGCTTCACTCATCTAGAAGTAATGCAAAATGCAATTTATATTTATACTCTCTGACCTTCTGTACAGAGAGTGAAACTATCTAATGATGGGCCACGGTAGCAGAGAAAGAAACAGATCTCAATACAGCTGGAATTTGTCTACATTTTTTGCTTTTCAACCATTCAATTACAGTCAAAAGATAAATGAAACATGAAGAGTGCCTTGGTTAGGTAGTGACACAATTATTTTATAGTGAGTAGGTTCTGGCTTTGAGCCTTGGCAAAGGTTGCCATGCACGCCTTGTTTCACTAGATACAGATAATCTGCCTGCTCCCACTGGACAAATCCCCTCTGCTTGGAGGTGTGTCATTATGCCCATCACAGGAGGAGAAGAAAGACACCAGCAACTCAGTACCACTCTCCCCGTGCATTTCAATATCCTTGAGAAAGGCTGATGCTCTAATCCTATTAACCACGATAAATCAAGTCAGGCCCAATTGTAAACGGGACACGACGCATTTTTGTGGAAAACGGGCAGATAGGAAGGATGCGCCACGTTCTTCTCATCTGAGGAGCAGCACATGGGTTTGTATCTTCTCAGGGAAAGGAAATAAGTACATCAGCCTTTGATTCTGACAGGACTGCTGAAGTAACCACCAGGTAACACCTGAAGATCCTTAACAACACGTCTCAGAGCAGATATCACACTGCCACAGCTCAGCATCCTTCAGAGGGCTTCACTGCAGCCATGGCTGCTCAGAGCAGCATGATTTGGCTCAAAAATCCAGCCTCCAGCTGTGTCTGTTTCTCCCTTCTCATTCAAAAGAGACACATGAAGGAAAAGTTATTTGCAGGAATGAGCATTAAGAGAAGATAACAAGCACAGAAAACAAAGTATGGGTTTTGCACATCCCGGTGTATTTTGGAAAACTGTATCAGTTTGAATTCATCTCTTCACTCCATTGATCCATCCTGCCTTAAATAGGAGGTGACCCAAAGTCCATTGACCTTAGTAGTGAGAGTTTCATAAATGGTTGTAAGCTGCGAAACAGGTTTAGAATTTAGATGTTCATATAAACCAGTCACTTGTTTTCTTTTCTATCGTAATTGTTTTGTTCTGGTTTGCCGCATTTCAGTGGATGTTTTTTGCTCTTGTACATTGAATTAATAAAAAAATGTTATTGGACAAAAATGCCAACTGATATCCAACTTTCTTCATGGAATTCCTTTTTTATAAGATATGTGATGACAATAATAAACAATTAAACTGGTGGTCACTATACAGTTAACATGTCAGAAAATAATAAAAATGCAGAACCAAGGCTATGAGAAGGTCATGTTTCATAAATAAATACAATAAGATGACATAACTAAGACAAAACAGTTCAGTGATGAGAGACTGAGTGAAGACTAATTTACAGTTTATCTTTCTTTGGGGTTTGTTTCCGAGTGAGAAAGAGCAGTTTGTCCAAACTATTAACTATCCTATTAAAAAATTCTTACTTCTGCACTTTTTGGAGCAGAATATAACTACATTTATTAACTCATAAGGAAATTTGGTATCTAGTTGATTTGTGTTGTTTCTTCCCCTGGTCCCTGCAGGCTGGTGAACACTCCAGGCTTCCCAGTGTGTAATGTTTCAGCCCATGGGTTTAAGTGATGGGCCACACATGAGGACTGAGATCTCTGGGGTGACTCCCCAGAGGTGAGGGGCAGGTCTGAGTGTGACCATGGCTGTGTGAGGGGCACTTTGCAGCGTGAACCTCACAGTTGGTGCACATGGTTAAATCAATACCCGCCTCCCCCAGGGCTCTTCCAGCCAAAGAGCACTGCAGCCTGACCAGGAGGTCTGCTTCCTTTTCCTTCTTCTCTTCCCCCCCCCACCCCCCCAATGGACAGCTAGAATAAAAACATAAGTTAAAACAACCAAAAAAACCTCCCTCAACACACCTATCAAAGTCCAAAAACTTGTCCAGGTCTGACTCCTGCTGGTGTCACCACAGGCAGGAGGAAGGGGATGAGGCCTTTGATTTGGGTGGGAGGGAGAGGAACGCCCCTGGGTAATTGTAAGGTTGCTTTTGCAACCTCTTGCCCAGCAGCTGGTGCAGGAAGCAGTGTCTCCTCTCACATGCTTTGCAGATCTTTTCCAGCTGAGTCACTAAATCTGGAAAAACATGGAGCAGTTGAGCTGGCACTTTAGAGGACTGATTTGGAGGGGGGGAGAAGGAAGAAATCCCCCTCCTTTGTCTGTATCTTTTTTTTTTCCCACCAAGCTGCTGTAGTGAAGCAGTTAATAGTGAATTTTTTTTTCCATCATTTTTAATCCACAACCCTGCCCCGTACCTGCCCTTATAATCCCCTAGCATGTGCTGGTGACATCACATGGCCATCAGCTCCCAGCTCCATCCCTGTGACTGTCATTAACTGTTGCAAGCAAATGAAAAATGACTGGGAGACTCGGTGGCTCCCACCAGTGACCTTGGGTATTATTAGAATGACCTCGCTTTGGCTGGACCATAAAAAAAAAAGAAAAACCTTTCTTGATATCATCACAGGGGCTGGGGCTGACTGAAGCTGTTTGCAGCGAGGAGAGGGGGAAAGAGCGGAGAAAACCATTAAGGAAAGCAAAGCAAATGTTATGCAAAGATGCAGTGGCCATAAACACTCGATCAGAGGTGCAGCCCCACCACCAGCCCTGCAGCCTGACCCCTTGCCAGGATACACTGGGCAATGCCAGGGTGACAGTGCACCTTGATGGGAGTATTTTTAACCCACCTCTTGTTTGTTATTTGTTTGCTCAGACTTTAAAAGGAAATAAATCACATGTAACCATTTAAGGGCTCATTGGCCTCTCACACCTTACATTCTGACATACTTTTTTGGTCCTATACACACCTCTCTAAACAGAGGAGGCAACAGACTGGGCAGGATGAACCCTTTTTTTGTGTAGTATAACACATGGAGAACCTCTCTTGATGTATCTTTGTACATATAACTCTGTGTGCAAACACACACATATACAGTATATGTTTATTAATGTGCATGTATTTATAAGCACAGATACATACGCATATGAAGGTGGACATAAAAAGAACAAATATTCATCCGATGTTGCCTTCTATATAATAAATAATTCTCCATGTATATATATATATATATATATATATATATATATATATATATATATATAAAATCGTATAGCAGTCATGTTTCTTCCAGAATGTTTTCTTCCAGTCGTGTTTCTACTCTAAAGATATTGGCAATAGCAACGAAGAGTAAGAATAAAGAATAAAAACAAGAGTAAAAATCAATAAGAATGAGAATGAGACTAAGAATAAGAATAATTCACATATCTGGGCTGGCCCACGGGGACATGAGGATGCTCTGCTGTTTAATGCCCTCCCTGGCAGGGACTCGCAGGCTCCGCCGGGGCAGAGGCCGCCCAGGACCCCCAGCCCTGGTCCCATTGTGGTGCTGGGTGACCACGAAAGGATGGATTGCACTAGCCGCGGGTCTGGGTGGGGACCGGCTGCCCCCGGGGTGCCTCGCTGTGAAATAGTTAAAGCCCTGGAGGCAGACAAAAGCGATCCTTCCGCCGCTGTCCTGCCTGGCTTCTCTGCTGTCAGCTGGAAATGGATCTGATGCCCTCTGGACTTTAACTCCCGACGAAAAGGGCATTTTATTACAGGTTATGACAAGCTGCAGAGAGACTTGGAGAACTCAATAAGAAACAACAAGTACAATTAAGAGGGAGGAGGGCGGATGCTCCAGATGTTTGGCAGACAGAGGGACGATGAGTTCAGACGAGAGGTGTGAGCAGGGACAGAGATGCAGCGGCGGGAGCGCAGCGCATCCTCCGCCGGGGCCGGGGCTGCGCGGACCGGGGCGAGGGCTGCCCTGCAAAGCCCTCTACCAGCGCCATCCCCTCATCGGAAAACACGGAGCAGAGAGCACCAGACCTCCTGGTTTTTTTCCCTATTAAATCGGTGCTGTCTGAATGTCTAAAGAGCTTCTTTCCCCTTTGCGCCGCGCAGGACATGCTGTGCGACTGAGGCAGGAGGGACCAGCTGCAGGTGGCTTCCCCACTAAGTCCTCCACCTCTCTCCTATTTTGGGGCCAGGAGGGCATCTCTGCCGGTTTGCAGGGAGGTGGTATCGCCCCGTCGTGCCAGGCAGAGCGCGCAGGGAGCGGCGCTCCCCCGGGCCGCGCTCATCCCCCGGCTTTCGCATCCCAGTCCTTGGACCTGTCACGTAGCTAGAAGGATGCCAAGGACTTTATGGAGTCTGTCAAGCACTCAGTACTTCTGTCTTTAGTGGCATCCTCATAGACAAACTTCGCAGGTGTTAAAAAAATATGCCGGAAAATAGTAATAATAATACTAATAAAAAAAAACCAACAAGCTTAACAGCTGCTCAGGGACACTGTAAACCATCTGATTTTGCAGGATAGGGCTACCATCCTAATTCTCCCTGGCAGCTTTTCAAGTGCATTTCATCGCTGGTTGCCAATGGAGGATGGCTCTGTCTCTCCCTTCGAGCCCCGCTCGGCGCCTGCCGGGTGTCTCTGGGAGCGGTTTGGCACCGGGAAAATCAACTCCCAGCTCGGGAACCGGGGTGGAAAAAAAAAAAAAAAAAAAAAGGACCGGTGTCTGGAAAAATAATAATAATAGTAAAACCAAGTTTTGAAGTGTCAGACTGTAAAATTCAGAGTTTCAGCCGGGATAATGTTATGCCTTCTGGCAGGTGAGCACTGCGCGGGGAGCCCCTCACCCTCCACAGGGCAGGGAGAAACTCGACAATCGCAGACAGTTTGGGGACACGCGTGTGCTTTATGAGCCCAAGGGTGACCTCTGTGCCAGCCTGTCACCCCTGTGCAAGCCATGAGGAGCACAGGGTTTCATAGGAAGGACCGAGGGCAGAAATCACAGCGCGAAGCACCTCTGCACCCCTTCGCCCCCAAAGGATGCACCCCCAGCCCTCTCCAGCTTGCCCGGCCGGGTGACTGTCAGCTTGTTATTTCTCTTTGGCTCATGGGTCTTGTGCCGGGTGTATATTTATTTTTGAAGTGTTGAAGCCCCAGTAACACGAGGGGTTTTTCTCGGAAGGAAAAACAAACCCTAACGAAATCCCAGAGCAATCTTCACCGCAAACCGGAGCTGCCTGTTTCTGGAAATGATGCTTGCAGAAAGGGTGAAAGTCATGAGCCTCTAACCAAAAATGTAACAAACCCTGGCCAGTATCACAAGGGCAAACTTCCCATGGGCCTCAGGGTTTGCTGTTATCCTTGCTTACACTGATAAGTCCTTTTGCTAAATCCCCCAAAGTTGCTTGCTCTTCCCTTTCATGTATAAAGTTACCGAAATCTGACAGATAAGACAGATTTACTGTTTCTGGATAAGACTTATAGCCACACATAAGAGACCACACTGCAAAAGATCAGTTAAAATGTGTTGCCGCTTCAGTGAAAGACTGTTGAAAAAAAAAGTGGTTTTACTTTAAACGATAGCATGAGGAAAATCATAATATAGTAAGAGGAGAAAAGAGGCAGCTCCCAGAAGAATAAAGACATTTTCTGCTCTGCTGTCACTTGTGTTTTCACCTGTATCTCTGCTTTCAAGAGCAGGCAGTGCGGCTCAGGGAGCCGCTTCTCTTCTCCTTTTCTTCTATTTTATTTCAAAATGCAGCTGACACCTTCACAGGTACACGACATTATCTGCACTCACACTAGAAGATAGGTCTGGAGAATGTGGTGGAAGAATGTGTCAAGGATGAGGCAAGAAAGTGAAAAATTAGAAAATCTTGGAAGTTTTTCTAAAAGCTACCTGAAAAGACAATTTAGCGTGGAGTCCTGGGATTTTAACATTTTTGTACTCTTCTTGGAGACCTTTATCATTTCAGGAAGGATGACCAATTTCCGCATAGTCAACTGTTTGTTTCTTCCACTTCAGCGACAAGGTTTTGCCTACATTTGCAGCCGCAGGTGTTTTGCTGCACTGTTGTTTTGGGGGAAGAAAGCCCAAAACCAACCTCCTCATCTCACCAATAAATTCCAGCTTTCCTTTGGTTATCCAAAACTGTTTGAGCTAGTAAGCCCCGAAACTCTTACAAAGCTGAATAGAGAAATATCCTGTGTGAAAGTGTGTTAGAACTCAGGGAGACAAATCACAACGCAGTGGCTAAAATAAAAATTAAATAAAATAAAGTATGGGCTCTCGCTCAGGTTTATTTTTAATTTTTCTATTTATTCTTTTAATGGTAGTAAAAGAATCGAGGGGACGAATAACAGCTTTAAAGTTAAATAGGAGAGGA